TTGGTGATACTGTGGAACGTGGCCGGCACATTGTTCAGCCAGGCTGTGTGACGGCGTCCAGGCTGTGCGGTGATGCGCTGGTATTCTCTTAAAAAGGGGCACCTTTTTGTTAGGTGGCTTTTGACTTCAGTCCCGCTCAGGTGCCAAACTCAGACATGGGAATAATCTTAAAAAACCGACAAGGAAATTTTATGTAACAGTTGCAGTGCCAGCATCTTCCATTAGGAGACTTTGTGCAGACCATCGCTTTCCCTTTCTATGGAACAGCTGATGGTAACTTCTTCCCCCATCCCCAGAGCAGTGAGCCCTGCCAGAAGCAGTATCAGTAAGATTTCTGTAGGACTTGTTTGTTTTTCAAAACGTGTTTTGAAAACGACAATAACCATGGTAAAAATCAACCATTGGTCAGGTTGTCTAGTTTGTGACTTCACAGATAGCCTATGAAATAAAATTTTCTCATGTTTTATCTTCAATTTCCTTTTTTTGCTGCTGTTGTCTCACTACTCACGTGCCTCACTGGGAAACTACAGGGAGCTATTTTTTCTACTAACAACTGTGAAGAACTTCTGCACTTTTGCCACAACTTCTCTTGTTGGAAGGCTGTCTCAGTGCTGGCTTTCCTGAGTTTTCTTCACTTGTTTTTTTTATGTCAGTCTTCAACATGGAAAGGATTTGTCTGTGACCTTCATGAAGCTGAATGAGCTCTTTGAGAAGTACACTCTTATGTCAAGGTCTTAGCAGATGAGGAGAGTGGCTTGGGCCCTTGTATTAATCAGTTCGTACAAACATATGTGCTAATTATTCATTTAAATTTTGGTTTTATACAGACTTCACAACAAATAATTTTTATTTTTAATAAGTATTTTAAATAAGAGCAAATAAGTTAGTGGATATTTATGGAAGTTATGGACTGTTTCTCTCATCATGTGTGACACGTTTGGATATTAATAAGCCTTAAATGTTTCTTCCATCCACTTTGATAGCATAGTAGTCAAGAGAAAAGTCGTACTGCACACTCTTCAATGCCTTATTTTATTTTTAAAAGTCCACAAAGAAGTCCAATCTTGACTAAATGAACCTGCAGTTACAGTGAAAGGTATGAAGAAGGCAGATAAACGAGTTTTCATCTTATTTCAGTTATATGCACTTGTTCTATGTGTAGCATCCTCACCAATGTAAGAACAAATTCATTTCCTCTTGGTGACTAAAGCCACTTTGTAATGAAGCTGCAGTATTTCAGATGCAGTGGTGGTGATAGAGATGCGTAGCACAAGGTTGTTTGGAGATGGGGAAGGAGGATTTCGGTAGTTTTGACTTTGTGCCACAACAAAGTAAAAGCTGAAAAAAGAAATCTAATGAGAAACCACATAAAACACTGGTAAAGGATCATCACTGCTTCTCAGTTTCCTACGATGTATTTGTGGAAAATCATCTGTGTTTTGTACCTTAGTGCAGGCACAGCAGTAGAAATGGATGAACATAAAGTGCTTCTGGCAAATCCAAGACTTCCTGCAATGAGTTTTTTCTGGGTTTATTTCTCAAATGCGGTGTTACAAAGCAGTGATTTCCTGGAGGCAGTCACCTGCAGGATGAGGAAGTGTGACCCTCTAAGACTTGAGCACTGCAGTTAATGACGCTGCCCTGACCAGGGTTTTGTGAATAGCTTCACTTACTGGTCAGGGGAGCTGGAATTCTTGCTCTTACACTAAAACCTAAATATTTTAGAGAAGAGGATGTATGGCTCACTGTGGTTTTTCTCTCACCTTTCTACTTATGGCTTTTGGGGTTTCTTCAGTTTCTGGGTGCAGTAAACAGGAGGTTTAAATCCCTTTTCTTAGGGCCACGTGCGTGGCAGAATGGCAATGCGTGGCAGTAGCCAGTGGTGGAGTACTTTAATGCTTTGGCTTATTTTAAAGATCTTTTCCTCCTCCTTTTTCTTCTACCCCCACCCTTTCTTTTGAGAACAGAAAGTTATTGAGAGGTTTTTGGGTTATTTTTCCTTTCAAGGTCTCTCTATTTCATTGGTTTACAAATATACAGGTTCTTTTCAGAAGCCTTAGACAAGTTTTCACCAGGTCACATCTGGGAAGGTTCCCTTTAAATCCATAAATACAAAAATCTTCTTTTTTTGCCCTTCTTTTGTTTAAGGCTACACTTTTTGACTAAGCATTAGAATTTTTAGTCACGGTTTTACTGAGACACAAACATCACGTTGTTTTCAGCTTTATTCTTTTGCACAAATAAAATGTTACTCTTTCTGAGACAGGTTGATTCTCTGGACAAAAAAAAAATCTTTCCCAAAGCACAACTTCACCTGGAGGAACCAATTCAAAATAAAAACTGGTTTATTTTTTGTCCCTGATACAGCATCTTCATTATACATCCATTATTACATCTATGTATATCATAAGGTTTGCTTCAGTTTCAATCTTTTCTCTCTGTGTGCTTGATCTACAACTTCCAAGAAGGTCTTTCTCTTTTCCACATTTGTCACTGCATCTATTGCCTAAATAAATGTGTTGTGACCAACCGCTGGGATTCTACCTGACAGCCAGTTCCTAGTGGCATTCCTCTGAGACTCATACCAGGGCATCATCCTGTCTAATAGCTTGGATGATGGGATGGAGGGAAGCCTTAGTGAGCTGGAGTGACACCACCGATTTGGAGGGCACGGTCAGTGTGCTGGAGAGCAGGGCTGCTGTTCAGGGGAGCTTCGGTAGACGAGAGGACTGCATTGACAGGAACTACCTGAAGGTTCAGCCAAGAGAAATTTGAAGTCTTGTACCTGGGGCAGAATGACCCCTGTGCAACATAACTGGCTTGGGGACTGCTCTGCCAAAAAGAGATTTGGAGCTCTGGATGAGAGGTTGAACACAGGTCAGTGGTGTGCCCTTACGGCAGTGAAGTCATGGAGAGCTGGGTTGCTTTGTTCTGGAGAGGAGAAGACTAATGGAGAGTGGAGGTGTGGGTTTGCTGTCTGCAGCAGAGAGGAAGGAACCGGGAGAGAGGCGCCCTTTAAAGTTGCAGCAAGGGAAATGTGGATGAAGTGACAGGAAAAAATGTTCACTGTGAAGGTGGGAAGGCACTAGAAGAGAAGCCCAGAGAGGTTGTGGAATCTCCATTTTGGGCGACATTTGGAAGTGGGCTGGACACAGCCCCTCACTGAACTTTCAAGTCCGCACTGCTTTGAGTAGGAAGTTGGGACTAGAGACCTCCAGAGGTCCCTTCCAGTCAGAAATACTGCATGATGTTGTGCTCCTTCCCTCACTAATTGTTTTTCTCTGAAGTACCATCCAAATATTGCGGAGTTACTTTCAAAATGTCCTCTTTCTTTCTCTGGCAGTAGCTGTGCATTTCTATAGGAATACAGTTTGAGATGTAGATACATTTTTATCAGATATGTACCTAACTAGTAGTACCTTCATGTATCTCTGCTGAAAAAAATTTGGGTACAATACAAGCACAGAAATGTCAAGTCCTACATAATGTATTACGTAAGTTAATGAAGTGCATGGGTGTGAAGGGTTTTCCCTCTAAATCACAGCTGAAAATATTTCTTCTAGTGATCTCACTTCTGGCTTAAGGCTTTCTTCTGCAGTTTAGTTTCCCTCAGGTTTGTGTGATCCCATTTGCGTGTCTTGAGGCCTTTACTTTTGGAACCGATGCTTTAAACATAAGCAACTTGCTGCTTTCAGAGGCAGAATAGACCTTTCCTTGATTCAATATGATAATGGTTGTGAATATAGCTGCCATATTTTTTGTGTGTGTGTGCACATAGAATCTGGCAGGTTTTAATTGTATGCTTTTTAGAGACTGATTAATCAAGTTCAGGAACTTCAAAAATACATTCCACCAATTATTAAAAAAAAAAAATGTACTCGTGTGCTTTCCACCTTTGAATTTTAAATACGTATTTTCTCCAGCTGAAACTTACTCTGTTCTCTCAGTGAGTTCTCCAGACTCTTCTGGCACTGAAATAAATCTTTGGTCATCTAGAATATTAGGGTCCAATTTGATTTTACATTTGACAGCAGAACTCTGTATTTCTATTTCAAACACTCTGTCACCATGGTTAAAACAAGCTTTTCCTCATGGTAGAGGTATGAGACATAGAGTTAAACAGGATTCCATCCAGCCCTATCTTTTACAGTCCAGGAAGTCTCCATTAATTGAAGGCTGTAAAGAGCACGAAATAGATGCATTCTGTGGCTTCAACAGGAAAGAATACTTTATTTGATGGCTGATAAAAATTATAGAGAAGGTATTCGTTTTATGGGTACTTTTGTTCTCTTCTTTGGTGAATTTATGTCACTCTGCTACCTTCTGTCTTTATAATCGATGATGCTGCACTACATTCTTAGCTCTGGCTTTGGAGAAGAATGCTGCTCTTGGTGCCACTGTTACTTCTGCGAAGGCAACAGATCTTCAGAGCGTTGTTCCAAGTCAGACAGCAATGTGTTTCAGTTCTGCATTTACTGGGAATTTATGATTTGAGGTTAGGTTGATCAAGCAAGGAAATATATTTTTCTGCTTTCGCCACTTCTTCTCTCATCATTCACTAAGAATAATTTGTTTTAGTAATTTTTAAACTCTCTTAGTGTACCACAGATCTGTTTGTTCAGGTCGAGGGCTTGTCAACGTATTTTTAAATGAAAGAAATATGTTTCTGTTCATAGGAGTTTGTAATTCATGCTTAATAACAGAGTTCAGGAAAGTAAGTTATGTTGTGAGGATTTGTTAAATAAAGCATTGTAAAAGTGACTATGAATAAATGTTCAAGTGGTAGTTTGATAAATAGACCATAAAGAACAGAAAAATAATCTGTAACGGAGAAAGATTTCTTTATAGTAGTGGTTGATTTTGTGTACACTTTAGAGAGAGTATTTTCTGTCTACAAAACGTTGTGCTGCCTGCAGTTGTCACTGAAACAAGGAGCATGTGCAGAATTACTGGCACGTATTTTCTCACTGTCACTGCCTGCTCTTTGTTGTTTTATGCAGTCCACAGGAGAAGCACCCACGACCCCAAAGCATACAAAGGACAACAGAGAGAGCTTCTTCCCAGTAACGCCAGCCACTCTGCATCCTACCCCAGTGAATCCAGACACTGTGACTCCTGAAAATCTGCTGAGACTGAATGATCTGCACTCCAAATCTAAACCAGCCTCTTCCTCTTCATCCTCCTCCTCCTCAGCATCTTCAGTACCTCCATCTCAGGAGTCACACAGGGACACTGAGCATCTCCGGAGTCAAAATGCAGAGACTGCTCCCAGCATGAGTGACCTTGCACGTGGTAAGTCTCAAGGTGACGAAGGGTTTTGGCCTTCTAATCTGTTTGCTAAGGCCACGCAGTGAGTCAGTGCATGAGTTCTGGTTCTGTCCCATTTTCTGTTCACTGGATCACATTCAAAAGGCTACGCAAACAGATTTTGTCTTGGTGCTGAATTGGGCTCATCTACATAATTTATACACACTTTAATTACTAGGGTAGATTAAAAGAGTGACCACTGTATATGTAACTTGCATGTAATGGAATAGCAGCCTAAAAGTAGTCATATGTTGTAAATAGAGAATTTCAGACTCTAGTAGCATTTTCAAAATTGTTTTATTTCCTCAAAGAGGTGAAGATCTAGTTCTTTAAAACACCTTAAATCTTCAAAAAGGTTAGAAGTGATTGCAGTTGAAATAAGCTGAATAAGCCTACATCTGACTTAAAAGTGCCTGGTTAACATAACTAGATGCATAACTATCACTGCCCTGTATGTGTGTGTGTGGAGATACATAACACTGTGAAAATTCCAAGCTTCTGCATGGTTCATCAAGTTAGTGTGTTATCACTATTACTTTTCACATTAGAGAAAAGAAGCATCTGGTGGGACTGGAATGTTGGAATATATTATTTATAGCCCTAGTATGGTTAAGGGCAAGGCTGGAGTGCAGAAAAGGATTGAAGAAACAGAAAAAATGTTATTTATTCCATGGCACGATCATGTGATTTGTTCAGGACTGTGTTACGCACTTGGTCCTGTGAGAAGAGAATTAAATGAGAATGCTTTCTTTTTCCTTACTGCTGTCATCGCAGGCTGGCTTCTTAGCAGTAGTCAGAACTACTGTGCAAGGCAGTACTGATCCACTTTGGAGAGTGAAGTAGGATTAGACCCAATTTCAGACTTACCCAAAAGAGATGGTTGTGCTTATTTGTGGGACACCGCGCATGTTAAGGTGGCAGAGCACCTGCCATAGCCTGTACTTTCTCGCAAACTTAGCAGGAACACTGAAAAGCATCTGCTGCTGCTTGTGCTCGTTCCATCTGTTCACAAGCTTGAGCCCTAACACTACTCACAAAATGCCATAGACAAATTCATAGGAGCCTAGATAAAGTTATGAATGAGCCATATATACATAACAGGTATTGTGGAAAACAACAGATGAAGGTACAGTGGAAATAGTACCCGGATTTGTGCGACTTAGTAATGCATAACATTAATTACTGATGAATAGACTCTGATCTAGTTTGGATATTTTGTTAATCTGGTGCTGTGACTTTCTGAAATTTTTGTCTGTGTACTTCTGGTATTTCATTTCTTTCCATGTGTAATCAGCCTTGCTATCTCAGTGCACATACCCTTCTGAATTCGTCAGCAATGAAGAGCAAATTAGGGAGAAATCAGTCTTCCCGATTTGCTAATCTGTGAGTCCAGGACAAATTTGAAATGTTAACATCCAACATTAGTAGTTGCATTATAGTCATCTGACTTTCCTTTTCGCAAATACAGGGACAGGTTGTCTTGGGAGGGGAAGAAAGGAAAGAGAAGTGATAAGGAAGGAATGGCTTAGTGGATGTGTAAGGCACGTTTGCCATTGTCCTTATGAAGCTAAAGAATGGAGTTGCATGGTGTCATAAGATATCTTGGCAGGCTTGTTCAACAGGGTGTAATTCGGCTTCGTGCCTAGGCAACAAGGGAGAAAAAAAGATGGATCCTCTGTGAAGCTGCTGTACGCTTACTGAGGAGGCCGGTAGGAATGACAATGCAGATAAGAACTCACGCGTTCTTTTGGTTTTCAAACAAAACTCGTGAGCAGTTCTGACGTGCTTTCCTCTGCAGCTTCCCAGGCCACATCGCAGTGACTAGAACGTTTATTTTAATCTATTGACTTCCTAGACTTTGTTAGGGTTGTAACGTGTTGTGTATTGTTCTTTCTTCTTTCATGCTTTCTATGCATCATCTTGGTTGAGGGAGATGGAAGGGTTAGTGCCAGAATTACACCCCTGAAACTATGCCTGAAGATCAAGTGGCTCGCTCTGCGGAGCTCTCATTCCAGTGCTGAATGCATGTGTTGTATCTGGCTTTCTGGCTCTTAGACCTACCTGACAGGTCATTTCTCCAGCTGAGAGAGACACCAGTTACTGCTGTATCCTTTCTTTTTCTTTTCTTTTTAATTCTCATACCTCTGTATCCACCGCCCCTAGAAAGAATTATTTATAATTCTGTTACGACCCTTTCTCATCTGCCTCCCATTAGCTCTGTTCCCATAAAATCTCCTCCCATTTTTAGAGTAGCCTGGTTTTGTCGTCTTTGTCTCCTGTCACCTCCTCCTGTATCTGTGTGTTCATGTGAAAGTATTCCACATCACAGAGTATTAGCTGCTGTCATTTTCTGTGCCTTCACCCAGAAAAAGGAATGGCTTTCCAAGCAGTGTTGATGCTATGCCGCTCATTTCTTACGTAAATATTTTAGTGAGATTCTGTCTAGTACATAACCAACTGGTCCAGAAAACAGCGTGATGAAGTCCAGCTGCAAAGTGATGATAGTGGTAGTTTCAGCACAAGAGTTTCCTACTTTTAGGCATAAATGGACATGGGGCTATTAGCCTTTGTGGCTCAGCCTAAAATTTTCTCTTGGGAAACTAAAATAGGACAATTAAGATAAACCCTCTTCAGCCTGTCACACTGATCCACTATTACACTGTTCGAAGTTGCTGAAAAATCTTGATGTTTTCTTCTTCACTGTTCTTATTCTAATAATGATTTCTACAAGGAATGAACAGGAAAACATTCCCATCTGAGTCTTGATAGCAGGAGAAGGATTTTATACGTCAAATTATTTAAAGTTACGTGTTTTGTGTAAAGCCAGCTATTTACCAAATTGGAATATAAAAATCAGAGTAGAAGAGTAACACTTCCCCCCCATTAATTTTTTGTCCATTTAAGGCCTAAGCATTTAAATATAAAAACAAAGTCATGATATAGCTTTCCAGACTTAGAAATTCAGAGCTAAGGAAGACAGTTCTTCCTGTGTTGTGCAGGGAAGTTGCACTCCATAAGCCACGGGAATATCCTACTGTAATTCCAGCTGTTTGTTATCTAGGCACTACAGGGCAAATCGAGGTAAAAATGTATCTCAGCCTGTAGAACTTTGAGATTTTCAGAAGCAGAGAAAATAAATGCAAGTTGGGTAAGTAGCACTACTGTAATAGTGAGCAATGAAGTTAAAATGTTTAAGTGTGTGTAGGCAGCAGCAGACTCCCTAAAAGACAGGTGTTCAAAATAAAGAGGGTTTTGAAGTGATAAGTCCTAAGAATTCAGTAATGATGCTGTGATACGGCAGTTCATCCTGCAGGCTTTTAACTGGGTGTCAGAGTCGTAAGAGTACTTTCAGGTGTAAAGAGCATCTTTTCCCAGAAGTCTGCAGCTTAGTTTATTTTAACAACTGATACATGACCTTAGACTAATACTGAGTTCTCAGAAGATTGAGGCAATTTGTGTAAGGGAGAGGAGAATACTGCAAAGATTGTCAGCTCTATAATTTTGCATTGGCAGCACCTGTCCCTGTATTAAAACAGTGCGTGGAACAGGGGTTCACCTTGATTGCTCACAGTTTCTAGATATCCAGACATCAGTGGCCATTCACAATCCCTGCTTCTGTCTGAGTGAAATAATGGAGACCGTAGGATGTCACTGTAAGTTGAGTTTAGTCATCTACTTATCTCACTGTCTTCTGTCATAAGTTTTCTTCATAAGTGTGTTCTTCTTGTCATAAGTTTCTGCAGACAAAACATGGGTTTTAAGAGCCCGTAATTCAGTGTACTGAAAATGTTCTGCTTACACAAAATGCCCAAAGTGTTTGGCCCTGTTGGCCATGCCTTATTTTAACTACGGATTTCAATTCAGACTTTCAGGTACTTTTTAAACGACTGGAAATAGCTCAACTCTCTTAATCGCAATCAGTGTCTTGCCTTGTTTTACCTGTTTTAGAGTGCAGAGGTTTGCTTTTTTAAAGATGGCTCAAAAAAAGCTGAAATGCAGGAAAGGTTAGGCTGGCCAAGGATCTGTGGCTTCACGTGAGCCTTTTTCATATTGCAGTTGCCTGACATGAAGGTTCGTTCTATATTGCACACGTTCTTCTGCTCTGTTTTCTTGTGTCACTTGTATGCAGCTTTCATTACTTTCTCCTTCATTTCCCATGTTGATTTAGCCTGGTTTTCAGCAGCTGTCTTCCTCAGTTCCCAAGACTGAATTCCACCCAGGCTTTAAAATCTCTTAGTTTAAAATAGTTTTAATCCCATGCCTTTTCTACCACCCTAGGGTAGAAGCTCCTATCGAGCTGTCAGTGACTGCAGAGTCACTAACAGACATCAACCAGGCTGCCTTCAGCTTGCTCTGCATTTGCTCTCTCTGATCTCTTGCTGCTTCAGCCTCCTTGGCATTGGCATTCTCACTTCCCCTTGTCTGATCCTTGCTTTTCATGAAGCTTTTTATTTTTCACAATGGGTGCACTCTGAAAACAACTTCACTGCTGCATGTCAGCAGCGGGTTTCCTGTTTGTGAATGACTTCTTAATTCCTTTTTGCCTGGTGCTCAGACAGTACCAGTCAGTGGAGTTTTTTCCTCTTCCCTTTGGAGGTAAGCTGATTTGCTTTGCTATCGCAACAAATTCATTCCAGAAGAGGTTTTCACTGTACCTTATGTCTATTTCTGATCTTTACCCTTCAAATTTCTTAAGTTTTATTAATTCAATCCAACGCTGTACAGAAAATCCTTTGAAATTAAAAGCGTCATTATTTTTATGCATCTGTCAGATCAGTAAGAACAAATAGGACAGAAGCAGCAGCTTCCCAGCAGCGGCCTATGAGGTGATGCTGCGTAGCCAGGGGTTTCATGCAGACTGGGCAGGTTTGTGGTACAAGAGGCTCTCCAGCCCCGTGCACTTTTAGATCTCCCTGAAAATCACTGGCCTGTGGATATCTGACTCTAATGGAACACATTTTCTGCAGACTTTCTGTAAAAGACCA